ACAATGTGAGGGGTCACAAATTCTCCACAACGCCATGGTGCGCCCTGCTCTCAGTTCATCATGTTATTGATGACTCCCTTTGATATGAGCTGCCTGCGCCGTCCAAACCTATTCACAAGAGATTTCAGACCGACGCTGAGCCTAAATGAGCCTCTGGGGACTTTGTAAAAGTCAAAAGAGAATGACGCAGGCTACCTTCCTATACCAACTGTTCATAGTGTACTACTTCATAGAAGCTTTTTGGGGTACTAAATGGTTCTCAACTGAGCTCGTACAAGGCAGCTTGTGATGATCTGTAAATTACTGTCACCTATGCTGCCTACTGGTACCATACCATAGCTTCACAGTACTTTACAGCTCTCACTTCGGGGCGACTTGTTAGTTAACATGAAGTAACATATGGAGCTAGCGCAAGCACAGAATGTCCCCTCTAAGTCGACCAAGGCACAATGATGTTTTAGAGAAATTTTTGAGCTCCATCTAAATGATATTATGTAATCAGCGCTTGTCAGTGTTTCAATGTGTGTAGGTGGGGGATGAGACGGTCGGACTGTCGTCGTCGTCGTGAAACTGCCCTCAAACACTAAACCAGGGCGGAGTGCTTCATCGCGTTCTCTTAGCGATGTGTGTTTAGCAAGATTCTTGGAACGCGTTGCTCTTGCAATCATTCGGCCTCTTCCATGAGCACTTTGTTGACTCGAGGTGCTCTCATCGTCGTCCTTCAGGGTGGCTTCGCATCCGATCAAAAGCCGCCCAAAGTCGAGAGCGTGGATAAACCAACGCACTTCTATCCTCGTACTGTGTTACACTCTACGCGTACATTCCGATACTAGGAGCTGAAGACAGTTCTGGGAAAAACGAGAAGTGCTGTAAAGCGAAAAAAAAGTAAACAATCAAGCGTTTCTGTGAATTTGCTTGGGTTTTTGAACTCTTAGAGAGTAACGACGCAGCTCGGCGACGGAAAGAGGGCATTTGGTACAATCGCCGTTTCACCAGTTCCGCTTAACAATTCTCATTCTGGTGAACCATGTGAACCCTTATAAAGTTGAAGCAAGCTCGTCCACCATAGTAAATGGTATTGCATTGCTCTACAAAAGTACAAGAGTTGACATGCACTCCTTGTAAGAGTTGACAGGTAGTCTCTACAAACTGTGGCTGGTATCATTTCGTGACTTCACAAATTTCCACGGGTACACTTGATAGCTCGACACGTTGATGGGAAGTAGCAAAAGTGCAAAATGCCACCCCCCCCCCCTCCGGCGCGGAACGGCGCCGTACTTTCTAAGTAAACGCTGGGGGTAGTCCAGTCTTCAGTCACAATCAGGTCACATCCTGCTGCTGAGGAAACTTTTTGCGAAATGCGATCCCCCCTCAAAATTTCCTCCTCTGGAAAGATCTCTGGTAGAGGGTACAGCGCACTCGAAACAGGGAAAAACATAGAAAGCTAACCATGAAAACATTTCCTCAAGAGCGAAAACGACTGCCCCCTCTCCCTTATTTCAGCGACCAAATACGACCCCTCCGCCGAAGCGCAACGTGCTCTCGTCGCAACACAAGGGTAAATGAGCCTGCCAGCATTACCCTAGTCGTCGTTATTATAACTGGGTTTTAGAGCCTCTGCACTGGAGGGTCCAGTGATATTTTCCGATCGCACCTTCTGGCAAAGCATATGAAAGGAGGAATATGAGGCAGAGAGAAGAGAGAACCAAAGAAGGGAAAGAAGGAACGTGGAGGAAAAAATAGGAGGTAACAGGGAGCTATGCGGATGATGGGTATCCTGAGACAGTATAACTGGTAAGAATCTTCGTAATAACCCCGAAGTCAGTCGTCGATTAGTGAAAATCAGATGGTATTAGCCCATTGCGTAATTCATCGAGACCCTGGTCATAGCTCTTCTTGATCTGCGCCAAATCGAATCACTGATCAGACCCAGTGTCTAGTTCCGGCAATATCGACCGTACCCAATTACTAGTAACCAATCTTACATCATCATTAGAACCCCCCATAAACGGAAACCATCAGACCACTGATAACTATCTACGTTCGAGGCGAACAATTGGCACTTTGCCAACTAGTGAGGTGCCTGTATCGCCATTAACTCACCGTAGTCACTGACTAACGAAAAGAAACAGGTGCTTCTAGGTTCACCTAAGCGTACAACCATCTTACTCATACCGAAATACGTAATGGCCTGCCAATAGCATGCTTCGGAGCAGATGCCGGCAACCAATGGCAATACGCGCGGCGTATGCGTCGCGTGCTGGCGGGTCTCGCGCATATAAAAGAGCGATGGTAGGCGGGCGGACACTAGTTCGTTAGCCGCCAACAGCACACACTCATCATCATGTGTGACGACGAAGTTGCTGCTCTTGTAGTCGACAATGGATCCGGAATGTGCAAGGTAATTATCTGGCACTATATTCTGCTACTCATTTATCACCTAATTACTAGTAAAAAACCTTTGGGTGGTGAGACATTGCAACACATCGTTGGAAGCTGTCACTTTTTTTTCAAACGGATGGGAGATCTTGAGCTGCAATTTGGGTGGTCAGGGATGGGCGGCACAGATCTGAGTCTGACGTTTCGGTTTTGCTTTCGTTTTTTGGTTTTGTATGAGTTTACAGTTCATGGCTGGTTTGTGGTATTGTAGAAGTTGTTCTTGTGTTTATGATCTACGATGTATTGCTTTGGTCATTTCGTTTATCCGTGCTGACAATGCGCTCTGATGCAACTGTGCCGGCATTGTTTCTTGGCGCGTTTTCCATTTTCAAATTCGTTGCGCGGTCTGCACGCTACGGCGCCCAAGTCCGACCTCAAAACACATTTATCGTCGTTCTTCGCGCGCGGCGAGCGTCCACTTGAATAGTCTGAGGACGGGCTGAGGGGACATTGATCCTCGATGTGATGCATCTCCTTCATCGTTCATTGTTGGCCGTTGTCAGCATTGTTATGTTGTGTAGGGTCGGGTTTGGTAGGATGACAGCATGCTGTCCACAGCTTGTCTTGTCCAAGTCGTATGTTTGCTGTTTCTGGTCAGTGCACGCTTGAGAAGCAGGCGAGGAATGAAAGATGATGGAGTGGCCGAGCCGAGTGTATACGTGTGTGTACTGTTGTTTTTCTAGTATACTGTCATTGCGCATGCACTGGAAAATGGGGTGAGGAGTAGCGGGATGGGATAGATCGGCCCGTCGTGCCGCGTTCTTTGTATATGATGTGAAGGGGGAGGTTACGTTAGTCAAGGCCGATTGATTCTCGGACGTTTCTTGATGACAGTCCTCGGATAGTTTTGTGCCGTGGTGTAATCGATCGACTGGTACCATCGAAGAGGTGATGTGTGGGTGAATGCACTGGGCGTTTCTGCTCTGCGCTAATTCGGAGAGCAGAAGGAGGTAAAGGAGAGGTCGTTATTTGCTGAGTGCGCGGCATTACACCCTCTGAGCTTTTCTTGGAAGAGGTCGGCTCGGCAAACACACAGTTGCGCTGGTTCCGCGACTGGAGTGCTGCTGGTTAGCTCTGCTGCTGACTTCCTGCGCCACATCTGCTGCTGTCGCTCATAAAACGCCCATCGTACACAGATGGCCCGGTTGATGGACGGTCTTTTGCACTCTGACGAAACCATATTTAAATTGCGCAGTGCTTTAGCACTTTCTTGGGGTTAACCTTCAAGCGAGAGGTGACTTACTTTCACCATGCAGTTTTTGTATACAAAAGGGATTCAGGCTACAGTTTAGTTCAGTCATTTCGACATTGTTTCAGGCCGGTTTCGCAGGAGATGATGCTCCACGTGCTGTCTTCCCCGTCCGATTGTCGGACGACCCTCGTCACCAGGGTGTCATGGTTGGTATGGGACAGAAGGACTCGTACGTGGGAGATGAGGCGCAATCTAAGAGAGGTCAGGGTTCACTCTTCTGTTCTTCCTCGACTTCAGGTTTTTAAGCTGTGATATGTAGTTCCACTCAATATTTACTTTTCCAGGTATCCTCACCCTGAAGTATCCCATCGAGCACGGTATTGTAACGAATTGGGATGATATGGAGAAGATCTGGCACCACACCTTCTACAATGAGCTTCGTGTTGCCCCAGAAGAGCACCCCGTCCTCCTGACTGAAGCTCCTCTTAACCCCAAGGCCAACAGAGAAAAGATGACCCAGATCATGTTCGAGACCTTCAACACCCCCGCCATGTACGTCGCTATCCAGGCTGTGCTCTCCCTCTACGCTTCCGGACGTACCACTGGAGTCGTTTTCGACTCTGGAGATGGTGTCACCCACACTGTCCCCTATCTATGAGGTAAGACTTTAGTTTGTATTATGTTTCTTCCTGTTAACTGTAGACAAATATCCAACTCAGGATCCCTGCAAACAAAGAGGGCGTGTCACGGGGCGTAGGTTGGAGCGTTGCCAAGGCGTACTTGTCAACCAATGAAGCCATCCTGAGTCCGCAACAATTGATTGCAGAGTGTGCTCCAATTCATGCCCCTTCACACGCCCTATCGTTAGCAGGGATCATGACTGCATGGTGCGATTTCAGGGATATGCTCTTCCTCACGCTATCCTCCGTCTCGATCTCGCTGGACGTGATCTTACTGACTATTTGATGAAGATCCTGACTGAACGTGGTTACTCCTTCACCACGACCGCTGAACGTGAAATCGTGCGTGACATCAAGGAGAAACTGTGCTATGTTGCCCTCGACTTCGAACAAGAGATGGCTACCTGCCGCCTCATCCTCATCTCTCGAGAAGTCCTATGAACTTCCCTGACGGTCAAGTCATCACCGTTGGAAACGAGCGATTCCGTTGCCCCGAGGCCCTCTTCCAGGTCTGTTCATTCAAGTATACGAATGTACTACTTTATTCTCATTGCGACTTTTCTAGCCTTCCTTCTTGGGTATGGAATCTGCTGGAATCCATGAGACGTCTTACAATTCAATTATGAAATGCGATATCGATATTCGTAAGGACTTGTACGCCAAATACCGTTTTATCCGGTGGAACCACCATGTACCCTGGTATTGCCGATCGTATGCAGAAGGAAATTACGGCTCTAGCTCCCAGGTAACTTTAGCTTGTCAGGCTTTTTCACACCAGATGTATATATATCATCATTTCTAGCACGATGAAAATCAAGATTATTGCTCCCCCTGAGCGCAAATACTCCGTATGGATTGGAGGATCTATCCTCGCCTCCTGTCCACCTTCCAACAGATGTGGATCTCCAAGCAAGAATACGACGAGTCCGGACCGTCGATCGTTCACCGTAAATGCTTCTAAAAGGCGTACTTCTCTTTTCGTAATCACGAACAAAACTCATTTTTGCTCCATTCATGTACTATATGTTGTGTGTCTATGGTTTGTTTCTGTCTCGGTCAGGGTCCGGTGCTGTATGTACTACTTTCAGTAGTAATAGTAGCCCAGGTCATACTGACCAAGTTGGAAACAGGTCCTAGTCATCAATTGGCTATGCTCATGAGAATGCAATAAACTTTAATATGCAATGATAATAAAGATTTGAAAATTCTAGTCGGTTTTAACTAGACCGTTGAATGTGTGTCGACTAATGCTCTTCGTAGGTGTCTCGCATATGACCTAGCCAATGTGCGGGTTTATGATCGTTATTTTTTTTGTCGGTCGGACCCCCGAACCGTCAAAACGGCTGCCTTCATTAATTGGTGGTATCGCGCTGGTGACAGTTCCGTGAGGGATCTGAGGTTACGATCCTCCAAACTCGTTCCATTCACTTGAAGCTTTCCCAAGCCAGTCTGAAAGACTTTTGCGCGCATCCTTGAGATTAGTGTTGCGGGTTTGTAGGGATTGCTTTTATAAATCTATATGGGAACCAAAGTAGGGCTACCTTCTTCACTCTAATGAGTCATGATTCGGGTTTTCACTTTTGCAGTCAGCCTAACAGTACATTTAGCTCATCAGTGAGCCTGGGATGACTCACTGATTGAAGAGTTCCAATCAAGTAGTTGTCCAGGTAGAGGACATTTTGGACATCTTTCCCCAAAGGTATGTATATTTCAAACGTTAACTGTCGCGCTTTTCTTTACAGAAGTGTAAGTGAACTGTCTCTTCTGGCGTTAGAAGAGCGCCACAGGATACTTGTCAACCGCGGAACCTCTCTCCTCTTACCTTTTTCCTTCCTCCTTTCTTTTCCTTGCTTCCTTCTCTCTTCCCTCTTCCTTTTCCTTCTCCCTTCAACTGCTGAGTCCGTAGCTGCGACGAGAGAACACCTCTGGACACTCGCAACGAGAGTATGTCCAATTGACAAGAGTCCTGTGACCGGTTACAGCCCCTCCCCCTCTCTTCTCACTCGCAGGCAGTCCTTGTGAAATGCTAACGGAGGTAGAAATGCTTTGGTGAGACTCGAGAACCGAAGAAGAACTTAAATGCCAAACGAACATTTTCGGACAGCGGGCGAGCGTCGCGGTCATTGCATGGGTCGCGTTGAATATGGCGCGAGAGAGTAGAAAATTGGAAGTTGAAACCTGCAGAGTTTGATATATTGGAAGGTGAATGAGTAGTTTCCCATATGTTCCTTTCTCCGTTCGCAGACCGTTCATGGAGTCACTTAGACATGAGCTACAATCATAGACACACTCACGTAGCTATTCAATAAGAAGCGTACACGGATTCTAAAGCCCCTGTCGTACGGAACCTTATGTCGGGTTTTTTTTCTGAGTTTTTAGAATCCTTCATGAGCAAAGATAGAAATTTCGAAGACATAAATCTAGTGCGACAGGGTTAATGGGTACTTCATAAGGGTGAAGTGCTAGCAAAGGAGGTGCGCGGTAGTTCACTTTAGGACTGAAGGCAAAGATGACGACGAAAATATCTTTATCTCCATGTGATAACAAGAATCCTAGAAACACCAATGCTAGAGCAACTGAGTGGGTGCAATAGGATAACTGTTCCACATAGGTGCATTTGAAGTATGTACAAGTTCCAGAAAATATGTTTTGTGTTGTAGCACAGACATTCGTGATGTGGCGCCCTAAACAAGTTTGGGTGTGATCGCAATTTTCTTTTGGATTCGAGGATAAACTGAGCGTTACGGTTAACAACGTGGATAAAGAAGTGTCTGTGGTAGGAACTTCTGAGATTCCAGAAAACTAGAAGGAAGTCCTGTAAAATCCCCCAATTTGAAGTATGTTCCAGGGTTTCATAGCTCTCGATTGTATCATTTCCTACAAATCAAATGATGTTCTCGCTCCTACGAATGTCTCGTGTATCGTGAACCTAATCGCGAGGATAACGCTTCCCAGTGCAATGACCGCGACGCGACCGCTCGCCCGCTGTCCGAAAATGTTCGTTTGGCATTAAGTTCTTCTGAGAACCGACAGATATTAAGAACTCAGGAGAATGACAGGATGGCTAGAGGGAAAGGTAATTGATGAGAAAATTTTCGCGTGGGGGGGGGTCGTACTGACACCGCCATTTCACGCACTACGATGCTCTGCACCCTGTGCGAACATTTTTCGGAACACAAGTGACGCCTTCAGCTAACCCAGAGTTTCATGTCGAGGAGATGTTTCGCCAGTGTTTTTGCGCTATTTGATAGGAATTTTGTGATTTTCTTGTGTTTTTATGACAGTCTTCCCCCTTATTTCTGGATGCTAAAACGCGTCCTTACCATGGCGAACAGCGGAAATTGCTATGACTAAATTGTCTGATTATTTTGCAGAGAAAAAAATTAACGACGTCATTTGAACATGTAGGTGACAACCTGAAAGAACCTACTGTCTGGGTGCAGTTAGACAGCTGCAACTCATGGGGCATCAAAAGCGTTCATGTACTACATGAAAATGCGGTGTGTGTGTGTGTGTGTGTGTGGGTGTGTGTGTGTGTGCGTGCTTTTTCTATCTTTACCAAATCACACTTCGCTTCAAAATGATTCTTTATGGAAATGAAACTTGAACTGGACATGAAGATCCATAGAAGTAATTCTTTACTGCCACAATTTATTAAGAAACAACGAGGGGAATATGAATCAACCAGGGTGTTGTCGTCCTCGAACGCATTGTACTGGAACATGGGTGCCCTGTGAAAGAATTGAAGGATCAGGTGAAATTGCTGAAGCTCTACCCGGTCGAAGAAAATGAGGTCGTTGTCATTGTGCGAGAAGCAGGTCCAGCAGTTGGCTCCCTGTGAAAGATGCATTTGCTACGATTGTCCACGTTTTCACTGTGGAAGACGCATTTGCTGCAGTTGGTGAAGGCTTCA